TCTTGCCAAAAGCCTAAGAGGCATTTAATGTTTAAAAATATAGTGAAAATGGAGTGTGGCAGTTAAGAGTCAAGTAAGAATCTGAGACCTGAATTTCAATCCAGTTTCTCACCCATACTCCCCCACCACTTCCCTTAGTGCGGGAGACATCCCATAATTGTTCTATGCTCTGGTTTCTCTCAACGCAGAACAAAGGTTTTTATTTCATACCAGAAAGTGCTGAGGGCCTATTGAATGTCTCTACTTCTCTTTGAGCTCAAATAATGCACTCTTCCAACAAAATCTATTCCTCCATCTCTGGTCCTTTATGGCAATGGAGCATTAGACCAGCCAGCCTGAGAAGAAGACAATGTGTTTCCATGTGGCTACAGCTAAAGGGATTTTTCCCCTTTCCTAATTCCCAGTAGAGAGACGTTTGTACTTCAAAAAAAAATAAAGGATTTAGATTTACCGACCCTGAAACTTACCTCACTAACCCTAGGTGTGGGTTGCCTTCTCAGTTGGGAAGTGGGAGTTGCTATTGGGAAGGATGAATGGAGAAAAGAGTGTGAAGCGCCTATTGCATGGCAGAGAGTTTGTGGTAGCTTCAACAGTGGCCACCCAGGGACTGAGAACCCACAAATCAGCCTCGAGAGTCCCCACCATGTGGAGGAGACAAACCCAACCAGAATGGCTGAGTCTGTGCAAGTTGGGGGTTTTGTCTCACACTCATGAAGAGAAGCAGAAGTCTTGCTGTGGGTTGGAAAAAGAAACTCTGACATTGCTTGGGGGCGATACTCGGGGAGAAAACAGGCTATTTTTATATCGCCTGAATATCATGGCAGCTTTTCCCAGCCAGTAGCATGGCTTTCCTTTTCCTAAATAATTAGTTTCCATAATGACTTATAATATGAATTTGCCTGTCTAATGGAAATACAATGTGCAGTTCTGTATTTCTTATTAGCACTCTGAGGAGCAATAATAGTCAAAGCTTGCAAAGCTTATTAAGACTAATACCCAAATGTGGTTAAATGCATTAAAAAGCTTTAGTAAAGAATATGCACTATTGATCCCATTCAGAGTCTCAGCCTTTACAGTGGGCCCATTAAGTTACAGCATGTTATCAATGTAAATTAGTCCCCAGCGGGTGACTTTCCTACACTCAAAATGGGCAGACCTAGTACTGAAACGCAAATCCACTGGAAGTTGCTGAATAACTGGAGCCCTTCATTCTTCCCTCCATATTTCATATGATTTACTTAAAGTAATACATGCTTAATATCTCATGTGCAGATCAAGTTTTCCAAATCGGCCGGTAAGGATATAATAAGTGATAGTTTTCATGTATCTTGAAAAATTGTTTTACACCCTTTGGGCCATCAGTGCAGAAGAGGAGTAGATCCTAGATGACATGACCTACAAATAAAATTTGTCACTGAATTCTCCTGGTTGAATACTTTGTCAAGGAAAACAAAATATCACATAGACAGTTCATTTACATGGGAGCCGTCCTTTTCCCTCCAAGCATTATGGTGAAAACAGATGTGTGAGTTAAAAAGAACATTCAAGTGACAGAGGTAAAATGATGAGATCAGGAACCGTAGGCATGAGAAACAAAAGGGCTTTGCAGCTGGCGATGCGATGCCATAGTGGCACACGCCTTTAATCCCAGCACTCGGGAGGCAGAGGCAGGTGGATCTCTGTGAGTTCGGGAGGCCAGCCTGGTCTGCAGAGCGAGTTCCAGGACAGCCTGGAACAGAGAGACCCTATCTCGAAAAACCAAAAAAAAAAAAAAAAAAAAAAAAAAAAAAAGAGGAAGGCTAGAGCTCGGAGAAAAACGACAAAGCCAGTCTTGGTATGTTTTGACTGGTTCCTGTGACACCTCCACTGAAGAACATTGTGCAAAGCACTGTTGTCCTCCGACATAATCTCGTACCCAATGCATCTAATTGCAATAGACAAAAATATAAATAAGGACAGCTTCTAAATAAGCCTCAGCCTCTTCCAGGAAGGAGACCACCCCAGACCACTGCAAGCAAGGTGTTGGACAGAGTAACCAAGAACAGATGTGTCGGCATCTTGTTCCCTGTTTCTGCAGACACATGCTCCTTGGAGTATACACTCTTGAAGCTGAAGTTAGAAACTAAGGCACCGGGGCATTCTCCCCACATGTTCTCTAATTAAGGATATGAATATTCAAATGACCTGATGTCACCATAATATCATTTGCCTTGTGGTTTTGACAACACCTCCCTTTTGTCCAGGTCATGGAAGAAAATACCCCAATAGAGCGATCCAGGCTACAGTGCTTTGGAACAGAAAATACCTCACCTTACCCCTGACTAAGCCACTCACCTCAAAAGTTTCATTAAAACTACTTTCAATCCCACCGTGCAGAACCTAGCGTGCAGCTCCCGCCTCGAGGCAGCCCACTCCAGTCTCTCTCTGGAGTGCTTGCTGAGCTTAGCTTTATTAAACTTTGGCTTCTTCGATAAATAGACTTCTGCTGCTTTGCTAAATAAACCTCTGCTCCTTGACGGGATTTGTTCCTTTGAGAAGACAGAAACCAAGAGACCCTCCACGGTATCTGCAGCACAAGCAGCAAGTACTCTGCTTCCACTCCATCAAGGAGCCAGACAGGAACATTTCCAAGGACTTTCTGCTAAAGGTCTCCATCGAGGTTTGCCTCTTCCTTACTAGTGTGTTTTAGTCAGAGTGACACTCTCACAGCCCAGAGTTGGCTGTTACAAAGCACACAACTCACTGGTACTTGGTACAGTCGGTGCTAGGCCAGCAGCACCAGCGTCTTCCTCCTCCACTGATTAATTTACCACCGCACACCGCCCCATCCCAGACTCCAGTGTCTGACCGCGTAAAGCCGCTTACAACAAACATCTTTTTTTTTTAAATGAGATGTATTTGTCCCGTTAGATCGAGTGACTGACTCACGGTAGAGATCAAATCTAGGACCTCATATGTGCTGGGCAAGTGTGTTACCATTCAACTGTATCTCTACCCCCTTCCTACTTTATTTCTTTTCCATGTTTCTATATGTATCCTACATTCTATATTTCTATCCTTTATTCTTACTGAGTGGCTGCATCTCACTAAATTGCCCAGGGTGGCTTTGAACTCTCAATCCTCCTACCTAGTCCTCCAGAGTTGCCGAGATTACAGGCCTGCACCATCCTAAACAGTCTGCTTGCAAAACCTGATTGAGAATTTTCCATCCTGTAACCCTGGGAACAGTAGCAGTGAACTAGATTAACTAATCCATATGGAGATTTTCAAGCCTCTGGCCAAACAGCCCAATATCCTCACTTCTGGGGCCATTTTCCCAGAAGCCTTAGCAGCCTACAGAGCTTCCTCTTGTCCTAGTGACTAGCTTCATTTGATAGACTGGTTGAGATATGAGGAGATGGCCCTTGGAGGTACTTCCTCTGGTAAGAGATGGCAAGACAGAAGGGAGTCCAGCCAGGTTGCAGGAGGGCTTGGACAATGTTCTAAGCCAGGGCAAGGCAAGTTCTGATGGAGTGGAAGGAAGGAAGATGGGAGAAAGGGGAGGGGTAGGGGAGGTGGGAGTAGCCTCTGTGCACCCGTGGTCGTCCTCTGACAGCTGGGCAGCTGGCTGTTCATGATGAACAGGGAGGGGGTGTGGGCGGGGGGAGAGCGCAGGTGCAAACACGCCGTCGGTGGGTAGGAAGGTAAGGGCCTCCTCGGCTGCTGCCTGCAGCTTTTTCTCTGCAGGGTAAGTCGTGACTCCGTGCTGAGAGAGTGGGAGTGGGAGCGGGTGTGTGGGTGTGGGTGTGGCGCCTTACAAGGTACTGACAATGCAACAAGGCACTGCAGAGAGTGAACTTTCTAGAGGAGCTGAGCGTGTTTGCAGCGCCCTGATAAGGTGCTGCTGGGGGCGGGGCGGGGGGGGGTGTTCACTGCGAGTGTGCAAGTGTTGGAGTTCAGACAGGAGTGCACTTTCTCTGCAGGTTCAGCAGGCTCGTTTCCTCAGCATAGTCTGCACAGCGGTTGGGGTCTCCTTCTGTGGGGTTGTGCCAGGGAGAAAGGGAAGCGAGTACAGGTAAAACGTGTAAGATCAAAGATTTCAGACAAGGATCACAGAGACTTACAGAAGCGATTTTCTACGTGGAGAGGGGCGATGGGAACTTGTGAAGTCTTTTCCCACCTGTAGTTCTTTTGCTCCCAGCAATCACAAAGACTCTGCCTTTCAGGAAGAGTTAAAAGTTACTTGCCTTGAAAAAATGTCCTTACCGTGGAAAGAGAACACACATGGGACCTAAGACAACGAGATAACAGGAACCGGAAGCGCCAACAAAAGTGAGAACTCAGTAGCAAAGAAATTAAGATTGATTTTGGAAATACTACTGTTGCTGTTTTGTTTTTTTCTTATAAAGGGATTCAGTGGTTTTTCCTTTTCCAGAGCTGAACTCCTTTCTCTAACCATAGATGAGGAACCAGCCAGGCCTACGTTTCCCATGATATCTCCTTTCTTAGCACTCTTGGAGTCCCAATGACTTCTGATCATTTGTTAGCTATTTGACAAAATGCGTAATTTGAAATGAGTGGTATCAGTGAGTCAGCTGAGTCTCGTAGCCCCTGCTGTAATTCCAGCACTGTAATTCCAGGTGGCTCAGGAGTGCCAAGTCATCTTTGCACAGAGCAAGTTCGATGCCAGACTGGGCTACATAAGAACCTGCTGGAAAAAAAGGCAAAAGAAAGGAGGGAGAACAGGGTGTGTTTCTTTAGTGGTTAATAAGAGAATAAGCAATAGTTGGGTCAGGTGGGAACTGAAGAAGTCTTTGAAAGGGTGACTTTCATGGCTATGACAGAATGCCTGGCCGGAAGCGGCTAAGGAAGAAGGGATTTGCTTACGTTCATGTGTTTAAGGTACGTACATTCCATCATGGTGAGGAAGGCCCTTTACTCAGATGTGATAGCAGAGAAAAATGAGGTCAAGTCCTTAGGATGGCTTTCTCCTTTTTCCAGTTTTCACTGGGTCTGGACCTGAGCCCATGGGACGGTGCCGCCTTGTTCAGGGCGGGTCTTCTGTTCTCATCAAACCATTCTAGAATCAGCTTCATAGACACACCCAACGATGTGACTCATTGGTGTTTCTTAATGGAATCAAGCTGGCCGTTGAAAACAATCTCGATGTCTCCCGTTCTCCACAAGCAAAGAAAATCAATCTTAGTGCTCTGAGACAGGTGCTTATGTTGTTTCAAGGTTTCTGAGGGAAGCTCTGAGGAAGAAAAAGGAGAGGTGAAAGGAGAGATTGATCTTGCAGCACTTTAGCAATGTGCTCATGAACTCATTAACATCTTAAACAGTAGTGTAACTTCACAGCAGTTTGTTCAAATCCCTACAGCATCCATGCAGAAATTTCTTCCATCAGAGCTGCAGCCGGCAAGGGCTATATGCATTTTGGAAATCCGGATGCCCAGTGATAAGTACATTTGTTTGGTTTTACTGATATGACTCAGGGCCACTGTTTCTCCTGGTTTGGGAATGGTTTCCAGGAGAGTTCTTACTGCCTACCAGACCAAGACCTACCACAGGACTCAGTTATTCTCATTGATTTATTATCACTCAACTCATCCTGGCAAAAGCACTTGAAAGGGGAAGGTGGAAAGGATCATGGGAGATGATGAGTAAGAAGTGGAGAACTAGGGATGGAGTGACAGCAGCAGGGACAGAGGGCAGCAGCTGTAAGAAGCCGGTGGAGGACTGGGAAGGGACCCTGGCCAGCCTGCTCTGGGCCTGTGCCTGAAGAGAGGGCCATCTGGGTTTCATGAGCACCTAGAAGGAGCTGTTTAAAATCGTGCTGCATCATCTACAGAACCTCCAGAGCCTGAAAGAGGGGCTGCCACCATGCTGTTTGACCCAGGAGTTTTAATCATCCCAGACCCTCACTTCTCATGACAGTGACCAAGGAAACATCGGGAAAGATGACGGTGTGCTGAGTATACACTTGACACCAGCAAATAGAGAGAAGTGCTGGCATCCGGAAAGGAGGGAAGGAGCTGAATAGACCCTGAGGGGAAGGAGAAGAGAATAAAATAGTGAGATATTCAAAGTGCCAGCCTTCTCAGGGCTGCCAACAAAGCCAGCTGACACCAGGACTTCCTAGAGCCTTCTCTACTGGTGTGAGACAAAACCCTGTCTTTGTTTTCACTTTACAAGGTCACTTACTGTTGACACAGGTCTTCTTTGCTGCCCTCTTGTTTCTGGCCCCTGGGTTCAGAGGGAAGAAAAAGGACAGGTAGGTGGAGGTGGCCTCCTGAGCCTCAGTTATAATCTAGCCATTCCCTAGAGTCACCGGCATAGACTGAGAAGAGACTGCCCCTAGCCCCACTGTTTGCTGATTTGGCATCAGCTTTTGGGACCAATGGCTTATTTCATGATCAAATGAAATTTGACTCAAGGGTAAAATTAGTTTTTACCAACAGGTATACGAAATAACATTTAAACTTTAAATTCCCTCAAGATGACACACAGTAAGTCTTATGTGACCTTTGTAATTTTATTCTGACCCTACTCTGAGAAAAGAAAAGTTGATGTGAAAAAAAAAGGGTTATTTTAAGATCAAAATTCCTTCTGGTATTTGAATGAGTCATCCTAGTGTTTGTGCAATTAATTTAATTTGCCCCAAAGAAGCTGCCTTTATTTACTTGTTGCCATGACGTCAGGCTAAATCTCGAATCATAGCATCATAGTCTCGAAGTTACATAGCCAAGTTCCCTTTCTATTTTTGGCTCTTTAGGGTTGAGCATTATGGCAATTGTGAAGGATTTGTGTCTTTTCCTCGGATGGGCACTGGAGTCCAACCAAGGCTGTCTCTTTCCTCTCTCTATTGGTCAGGTCACAAATGGCCAGGCCTGGCCCCTCTGTGCCCATGGGAAATACAGACAGCTTCACTGGTTTCTAATAAAGAAACTGACCTCTCTATCCCCCAGTGATGCTGCCCTGCTGTTTTAGGAAGTTGGTATTAGTCAGGGCCTCACCAAGATACTATTGCCACACTCAAAATTAGACAACCAAGAATACTTTAATAAAAGAAACTATTATGAGAACACAGAGGCACAGGGACGAAGGAGTCAGGATAATGCTGGACCATAGGATGAGGAGCAGGAGAACTGTCATCAAGCTTGTCCAAGGGGCAGAGGGACCAGAGCCCAAGACAGAGTCACACAGAGATGATCACTTTTAGAGAAGCAGTGGCCTTCAATGAGGAAAGTGCTCAACATAATGGGAGGTCCCAGGGCAGAGGTCAGGTGATTAAGTACCCCAGCTTCCTGTCCTTCTCTATGTTCGCAGGCAAAGGAGAGGCCAGAGGGTAGATCTGATAGACTAAATGAAAAGTGATCAGCAGACAGCCTCAAGCCCATGAGGAGGGCCAGCCCAGGCACACAGATCTGGTGCTACGGAGTGAGAGCAGGGACCGAGTGGATAGAGGACTGAGGGCAACAAGACTCCACTCTGCCCTGCCTTGCAATTCCTGCTAAGCAAGATACGTTAGTGAAATCAGCTCGACTCAGAGGAACTGTAGCCGGCAACAAAACCCACCGTAACTATTAAATGCTTTTTAAACAGCTTGTGGTAACCCATCCGTGAGTTGTAAAATCGTTTCAGTAGAATAAAACCAGCAACGCCTTTTAAATGGAAAAGAACAGTGAGAATAGAATGAAGCATATATCACACAATAAGAGAATAGGTAGCTTTGCCCGGAATTTTGTTTCTATTTTGTGTTTTGTATAGGAAACTACAATCCTCTCAGTAGTAGCAAAATATCTTTTCTACATTTTTAGTGTCCCCTGTTTTTCAGAGTTATGTCTCTTCCTGTGCAAACAAATGTCCCTAAATCCATGAAAACGTCCAAGGATCTGACATCCAACCTTGGCTAGCAGGAACCGACTTCCTTCATCTTTATTCTAGAGTTTTCTCTTCAGAGACTGATGAGTGTTTGCACCACTGGCCCATTCACAAGTACCTTCTATAGAACAACCCATGCCAGCCAAGCTTGCTATGGTAGGATGCCCCAGGCAGACATGATCTGCAGTTTTAGCAAATACTGCAGTATCCTGTATCTGCTAGTACAGTGGTTTTCAACCTTCCTGATGCTGTGACCCTTTAGTACAGTTCCTCATGTTGTGCTGACCCCACCATCACCACAAAATTATTTTCATTGCTACTTCATAACTGTACTTTTGCTACTGTTATGAACTGTAATGTAAATGCCTGTGTTTTCTGATTGTTTTAGGAGGCACCAAAGGTTATTCAACCCCCCCAAAAGGGGTTGGGACCAACAGGTTGAGAACCACTACTGGTAAAACAATGAAAAGGTGTTATAGAAATTTCTTGTTTCCTGAAACCTTATTGTGAAATAATTGTCTTGTTATTTGATGACATGCAGCATTTCAAATATTAAGGGATCTAGGGAAGGCCTCCAGCTGCAAGGTAATAAAGACATTTGATTATCTCAGCCAATGACTGGTCTGAAACTGGAGGGTTCAGGTTGTATGGGCACAGTTCAATGATACCAAGAGATTTATATTCTTTTTAAACATTATGATTACATCTGTTTATTATATGTGTGGGGGAGGGGTATGTCATGGCACATGTGTAAGGTCAGCGGACAACTTGGAGGAGTCAGTTCTTTCTACCATGTGGGTCCCAGGGATTGGACTTGGTAGGTCCTCAGGGTTGACAGCAAGAGTCATCTCTCCAGCCTGCATTTTCTTTTTAAACAGTCATCTTTTTACCTCATAGTGAGATCAACATGGTCACCTTAAGTTATTCTTACTTTCAAGGTAAGGGGAAAGGTTGGGGGACCAGTGGACCGCTCTGATGTGTCTATGTTTTTAATTAAGCAAGACCAGCATCTTTCCTAGGTGTCTTCCCCAGAGTCTTGGACTTGTGATGGGAATGAACGAGTTGCCGAAGCTGGTTGAGACCTATGGGATTCATTCCCTGGATCTTCTGCAAGGAGCTCCCCACCTAAGGATTTGGGGGTCTGAGTAAAAGCAGGGTTTGCTTTCCTTGTAGGGGAGTGAGAGGTGACAACATCAACATTGCCTTTCATAAAGCCTTTCTCCATTCGTTCTGCCAGCAAAACTGGACTGCCTTGGCAGAGCAGGCTCCAGGACTTCCAGGATGCTAGCTGTCAGAAGGTTCTGGAGCCATGCAATGATGACACATGTCTTTAATCCCAGCACTGAGGAGGCAGAGGAAGGCAGATCTCTGAGTTTGAGGCCAGCCTGGTCTACAGAGAGAGTTCCAGGACAGCCCGGACTACACAGAGAGACTCTGTTTCAGAAAAAAAGACAAAGGGGGAGATTATGGTTGTGGTTCTGGGGGAAACAGGTCACCTGTGAGCTTTGTCCACACTGGATAACAAAAACAAAACAAAACAAAAACCACTGTACTTTTTCAAAGTAGAAAAGACTTGAACTAAAGACTTTTTTATGCCCAAAGCCTCCTAAAACAGAACTAAAGATTACAAACCTCTGTTTGCAATCCACACCAATTAAAGCAAATGGCCCAGGACACTTTATAGTTAGTTTTAGTTTTCTGTATACCCATACTCCATGGAGTCTCAGGAGCAATTACAAGTGGGCCTGTAATGCGCTTAAGCAGGCATTGCTGCTAAAACACATGTAAAGTGAGACTTCATTGGCTACCCAAGTGATTGATTCTCATCTAAATGTACCTCACCCTAGATCACTTTGTTACCTCGAATGAAATGCGATGAGTTTCTGGAACTATTTGAAACTGTCCCCTTTAGAGAGTGAAAATATTGCTGAGACAGTCCTATGATTTGTTCTTAGCCAAATCAAAGCTGTTTCATTAAAACCAAATGTCAACTTGATTGGTGTTCCATTAAACTATCCAAACTATCAGGTGAGTTTTCTGGTCTAAATATAAACATCTAGCAAGTATTCCTGTGTGGTCAAAAATTCATAAAAGTAGCTATATTACAGGATGTCAGTATGTCTCATGTGTGAACTTGCCTTAGACTAAGATGTTTTCACACTAATAGACTTGTAGGATGCTCAGTAGATATGTGTTAACTACTCCAGAGGAGGATGCACTGGGCATTTGGGGGCATGTTGTGTTTTAATTGTTGAAAGTCTGAGAAACAGGTGTTGCTTTCAAATTTTTACATATGGTTTAACTTCAGGAAGATTAACTAAATGCTCCATCATTATTTTTATCTTAAATTGGAAATAGTAGACTTTGGGTGGGGAAGATGGTTCCCTCAGTAAGGCACATGCTACACACGCATGAGAACCGGTTGGAAACTAGATTCGGTGGCACACGTGTGGAACCCTAGTGCTGGGTCGGAGGATCAGAGATGGGTGGATCCCATCTCAATGGCCAGTCAATCTAGTCGATCATGAGCTCTGAGTTCAGTGAGAGGCCCTGTCTCAAAAAATAATATGGAAAGCAAACCGATAAGACATTTAATAACAGCCTTATGCCCACAGAAAAGCACACTACACACAAGTTAAAAAAAAATAGCAACACTCAGGAGGCAGAGGCACATGGATTGCTATGAGATCCAAACCAGCCTGCTGTACGTAGTGAGTTGCAGGCCAGTCGGAGCTACATAGTGAAACCCTGTCTCAACAGTAATAATATTAATAATGATAACAGTAATAGAAAACTTTAAAAGTGAAATATTACAGAGTCATAATAGATTGAAGCAGACACCTTGCACCTGTGGAGTTCATGTCTAGCAGAAATATGATCCACTTAGTTTGTTTACATCCCAGTTTCGTCAGCTGTGGGCCATGACACTGCATGAGATCGTGTAATGGAATGAGTGGGTCAAGAAAATTTTGGCAACAGTAAAATGGCTGTGAACACACAACAACCAAGAATTCATTTATAAACCAAACATTGTGGCAGTGCTTGCCTGTGTTGTACATCATCGCTGTAGCCTTGGTTCTGAACATACACCATGCTTGCCATTACCCCACATAGCATCAACAGACACTGCCTGAGACAACTTGGCTCACATTTGAGACTATTTTATGTTATGAATTGCAATGATATTGCTATTTACATAGAGTATTCTTACAGAAACACAATGGCTTAATTATGAGAAACCAAGGCTTTCGGTATTTTCCTACAGTCATTTCTCAGCATGTAAGTATCAAATTACTATATCTTTGGATTATAGTGTGTTAGAATGTTTGATTTTTAAAATTACTGTTTCAGTAGCTGGCTTGAGTTTTATAAAATTTCATGAAGTGAATTTTGACTTGGGATTAGGGCAGAATTGCCAACAGTTTCTCAACTGGTCCTAAATAATATTTTTGTTATATAGATATGCAACACAGCATTCTCAGTATTGATCATAAAATAATCAAAATGTCAATCAACTTGAAAAAGTGTTAGACATTCCAAGACCCTCAGTTTCAAATAGTCACTCAAGATTTAAGTCTTTATTTGCAAATAGATAAGCACATTCATCTTAGTATGCAAATTTGATTTTTGTCTTTAAAAATGGCAAATTTTTACATTTGCCAGAGAATTGTTTTAAAACAAAATTTTAAAGTCAACTTGGATTTATTAAGAACAAGATTTTAAGCACAAATATGAGGAGAGAGAGAGAGAAAGACAGAGAGAGAGAGAGAGAGAGAGAGAGAGAGAGAGAGAGAGGGAGGGAGGGAGGGAGGGAGGGAGGAAGCGAGGGAGGGAGGGAGGAGAGGTAGTTAAGAAGGCACACATCCAAAACATGGGTGCAAGTTTCTCAAGAGAGAGTGGCCAAAAGCATCCTTATCCATTGAGCCACCTTGCCAGCCCATAAAAATTATGATTTATCATCCATAAATGTTTTGCATACATATGTATGTGGGTATATATGTATCTATGTGTGTGAACTCCATAGGTCCGCCTCCACTGCTAATCTTCTGGTGTTATCCACCTTGGATTTTTGGTGTTATTCACTTGTTGGTTGGTTGGTCGGGTTTTATGACAGGTTCTCACTGTGTAGCTGTGGCTAACCTGGAACTCACAGAGATCTACCTGCCTCTGCCTCCTTGAGATCAAAGGCGTATGCCACCAAACCTGGATTCACTTTGTTTTTTGAAGCAGAGTCTGTCATTGAATGGGGACTTGCTGATCAGGCTAGGCCAGCTTGTCAGCAAGTCTCAAAGATCTGCCTGTCTCTTGCCTCTCAAGAGCTGGGATTATAAATATGCCACCATCATCTTATGATCACCATCCTGGAGACCAAAGTCCCATCCTCTGCTTGCATGTCAAATACTTTACTGACTGGATTGTCCCCTATCCTCCCATTTTGTAGACTTTTATACTCAGGTCATGTAAAAAGTTCTTAGGCAAAATGGGGTTAGCTGTGAGTCAAAAATATTTAGGAGTCCCTGGTTTTGCATATTAGTTCTTACAAACAAGAGAAGATTCTGGATAACATAAACTAAGTGTCTCAGAGAGGTAGGAGCTAGTGCACATAGCTAAAGAAGCACAGCTGGGTCAATACAAGAAAAAAAATGGGTAGAATAGGGGAGAACAGTATGAGAAATACCATAAAAGAGGGAGTCATAGGTTTGAAGAGAGACCTGGCACCAGTGAGACTTCTAGCGATCTACCTATAAGGATGACACCAACTGGCAAGCTAAGCAATAGTGGAGAGACTACCTTAAATGCCCATTCCTGATAATGAACTTGATGTCTACCTTATATGACATCCTAGAACCTTCATCCAGTGACTGATGGAAGCAGAGGCAAACACCCAGAGCTAAACACTGAACAGAACCCAAGGAACCCAGTGACAGAGAGAGAGGAGCAATGAGCAAATTGCCAAAGAATGGGCTGGCAAAACCAGCAGAGATAGCTGATATGAACAAGGGAGAGCTCTTGGACTCCAGACCAACAGCTGGGAGGCCAGCATGGGACTGATCCAGACCCCCTGAATGTGAGAGTCAGTGAGGAGGCCTAGGCAACCTATGGGGCCCTGAGCAGTGAATCAGTGTTTATCCCTGGCATACAAATGGACTTCATGTGTCCATAGCACAAAGAGGGATGCTCTCTCAGCCTGGACTCTTAGCGGAGTGCCTGGACCCTGCCCTGAGTGAAATGACAGACTCTGGATATCCCCTATGTGGAAGGAAGTGGGGATAAGGTGGGAGGCTGGGGGGGATTTTGGGGGAGTACAGGAGGAGGGGAGAGAGAGGGAACTGGGATTGACATGTGAAGCAAGCTATTTAAAATTAAAGTTTAAAAAAAGAATAAGAAACAGAATTTCTCCTTGTGTAGTTTTGGGGAATGAATGGATTAGTTTCTTCAGAAAAACCACCTCAAACATCACAGGCTGCAGCTGCTTTCCATTAAAGTGACTCACAATTCCAATCTGTGAAACTGAATCTTCCTGTCCTAGCTTGGATTACATGCCTTCCTGTTTCAGTGGAAGACAGACATCTTGGTTGCTGGCATAACACAAATACTACAAGGTAGATC